ATGTAATTTTTACGTTTTTTTTCAATATTTGTATGTAAAACAAAGTGTTAATAAATGAATTTTGAGCGAATTATTGCCTTTATTGAGAAATAACCCATGCTTCAATAATTTTCTCAATACAAGATTGTTCTAAGAGGAGTTGCGATTAAACTTCAAAACAGCAAGGCGAAATATTTGCACAAACCTTTCATATCTGGAATCTTTTATGAAGATATTATTTAAAAAGACTCAGTGCTTTCAGTAAGTTCACAATTATTTGTAACTTTTCCCAAATTTTAAAAATCTTGGATTTGTACCAAATATTTGGTAGAAAGATAACGTGATTTTGAATCTCTCTGAGGTACGTTGAACGTTGAATGTTCCTATTTAAGATCAGTAATTAATGTCATAGAAAGAAATATCGAATTTCACCCAATCATGATCAACCAATTTTACAGATGGTTTCCTCTGATGGTTATGTACCTTTTTCTTAATTCAATTTTTCTCTAAAAATATGCATGTTATTACACATAGTAATGCCCAAAAAATGTGCAATTGCCACCCGTGGGAAACAACTGGCACCAAAAAAATAGACAGTTTAGCAAATGAAAAATGGGAGGCTTTTAAGGAGATGATGAGAGCAAACTCCGAATCCCAAGAATTCATACTTAATTAGAGTTTTGAACTCAATCATTCAACTTTCCGAAATTGACATCCTACTGTTCGTTCAATGGATTGGAGTTAATGCATGTTTTGAAGTGCTCAGTACCTCATGGCAGATGATATATATTCAAGAAGAGCAATTACTTCTTTTCTTCAGATTATTGAGAGCCTAAATAATCTTAAATGATATTACAAACGAGTTCAATACACAAAAGATGAGGCGGCTTGACTTCGTAAGCTGTGCTCATTCAAGGTGGATACTTGAAATAAAAAGCTTTGAATAATCGCCGAATGGCTAATTTGGCTGATCGAATGAGTACGTTGTCCCATATAGAAATAAGTAGCATAAACAACGTGGCTTGTCAAATTTTATTTATTTATAACAAATAGCAGGAGATTTGATAGTCATCATTAGCCCTTTAGTTGACTTCGGGCTTCGCAGAGGGGAGGAGGAACTTCAAAATGAGAAGAATTCGGGAGGGGGAATAGAAGAGTGATTCACATAAAGAAGGGAGGGGGAATAGAAGAGTGATTCACAGATGTAAAAGAAACAGACAGACACGAAGGCTCAGAAAGGGCAAGATAAGTATTATGGCAGGGGTCAAATATGACATACAGTGGGGTTGAGGGTTGTTTAAAGTGAGAAGTCAACCGTCGGTTAATAGACTTTTATGCCGTATGAGTATACGTTGTCCAGGGAGCACCACGAGGAGGCAAGTCTATCTCACACCCCGGTTTGTCAAATCTAATGGTGACTAATGGAGGGATGAAATATTTCAAATATGAGGCACACATCACCTGTGTGGTCCATAAATCGTAAAAGCTATGCCTTTTGTTAAGGATGAAGTACACAATTCAAAATCGGATATAGTCTCGTCTTAAAGTTAGAATTTATTGAGCACATATAACGGGGTGAACATTCTGAGAAGGGGTGCGCGATAGACTTAACCTCGCATGGTGCACCCTAAGCAACGTATACTCATATGCAAAAAAGTCTATTAACCGGCAGTTGACTTCTGACTCCAAACAACCATCACCACCACTGTATGTCGCAGTACTCATCTTACCACTTCTGAGTCTTTGTGTCTGTCTGTCTCTTTTACATCTGCGAATCACTCTTCTATTCCCCTTCCCAAATTCTTCTCACTTTGATGTTCCTCCTCCTCTCAGTGAAGCCCGAAGTCAACTAAAGGGCTAATGATAACTATCAAAACGCCTTCCATTTGAAATAAATAAATATTCGTACAAAAACGTCTTGCAAGTAAGTAAGAAATTAGTGCCAAATCTCCTTGAGTTAGTTTAGAAATGCAATATAAAAATGAGGGAGATCGGCATTTTGGGGGGTTGAAAAACAGCGCTCGGTCCCAGGCGGTGGGGAAGAGTGCGTAGCTGGTGCCATCGCAACGAAAATCGCTAAAACAATTACCCAAAAAGGAAGTACTTGGACTTAACCACAATTACATTAACATAAACACTAGTCAGTTAGCATGTCATCGGGAAAAATCAATTGTAGCTGGTGTTGTAAAACCGATTTTTTTGAAATTTCTTACTAAAGCACTTTATTTAAACCGTTGCTAGGTGATGGAAAAAGGAGGAGAAAACAATTTCTTGGCAAAACTCTCTCGTTGTTTATTTTCCTTCATTAAAGCAGCCTTTCTTGCAGAAAGCATTGTGCTGTGCTTTTGTAGTGCTCATTGCGAGGTATGACCCAATTTAAGGACATCAAGTGTTTTTTACAGCCAGCAAATGTGTTTTTTTTCGCGTCCTTGTGAGCTCATTTAAAGAGCATTTGAGGCGCGTCAGTTAGTACAATGAGCCTCTATATTTCAATATTGATTTACTTCCTCACGAAAGTAGCCATATTCGTGGATTATTTAATTTCACACTTAAAAAAACAATCGATGATTTTACCAAATCATCCGCAATAGCAATTAATTAGTAAGCTTTCGGTAAATTTCATTTAATGAGTCGTATAAAATTAACATCAATGATAAATTGTGAAAGCAACTGCATTCGCATTCTAGAACTAGATGATTTCGAGAGATGGCGGCTGCTGGATAATGGATGTATAACTAAAAGGAGTGCAGGATAATTAATTTTAATGTCTATTTATACTGTTTTGAATAACAATGCCCACGTATAAGAGCGTATTCAGGAACCAGGTCTCTAAACCATACCCAAGTGCTTACCCAATTCTAGATTGGACAATACGCCAAGAAATATTGATAAATAGTTAAGGCTCCTACTGGATCATCGATATTTGGCGCTCTAGGATTTGAGAGAGAGAATGGACTTCCTTATATACTAATTATCATTGTGAAAGAAAGCGTAGTGAAATCATGGCTAGCTGGAGAACATTTTTGCATTACTCTTAACGCTTATAAGCCTTATAAAAATCATCTAACACGACTTTGCACGGCAAAAGGGAATGAACTAAAGAGAGGAAGTAGACTTACCAGTTCTATTGTTCGGACAATCCACACAGACAACAGCCTTTAGAAGAGTTTCCACACATTTTGCCCCTATTGGACACGGACAAGATTGACAGGCCTCTTTGCTGCCGGGAGGAGCAAGCGCGTTGCCGTAGTAACCATCGGCGCAACGATCACAGAATAGGCCACCCGTATTGTGCCTGCATTCACATTTACCTGGCGCACAAATTGATGTTATGGCATGGTTTCTACTGAAATAATTTAAGTAAAAACAATTTTTTAAGTCCTACCGGTTTCCGGGTCACATATGTCCGAGTTGTTATTGCAAGTGCAAGGAATACAAATAGTCGACTCTCCAATTGTTTCACGTCGATAGCCTAGCATACACCTCTCACAACTAGCCCCAGTGTAGCCTTGTGGACACTGACAAATTTCCTTGCGAAACTCTTTTTGAGGATCTTTCCACACTAAAATTGGGCATTGGACCGGTATATGTACCCATACACAATGCAATAAATCATTTAAACATTTTTAATACTTACATCCGCTTACACAGAAGGGACAGTCATTTGGTCGCTCTCGGCACAGACAGTCGAATTCGCCCTTGTGATTCTGAGCGCACCCAATATCTAATGTTTTCTTATCTATAAGTGAATAATTCATTTTCGAATTAAAGTGAAGATCAGCAAAGCCTCATGATTAATCGGTTAAACAAATTCAAATGAATCATGGCTTATTCGGTTTATAAGAGAGCCGCTAATAAATTGTTAATGCGAGATTTTGAAGGATTAGTGCAGGTTTAGTTCGCTGCCCTTTGACCCCAATCGGAAGAAGTAAATTTCAAAAACAAATAATAAATTATGGATTTCCAGAGGAGTAT